GTGTGTGTGTTTTCCTGTGCCCAAACCACTGGTGATCTGGGTAGGTATGGAAAAAGGGAGCTGTCCTAATGGAACTAGATGTGCCCTATGCCACTCCTGCTGCCCCCTCCCCCACAAGTTTCTCTACTTTCTTGTGCTGCCATGAAACTTGGAACCATTTCCCCCTGATATCCCTGTCACCTTTGTGGCAGTGCAGTGCTATGATGTCCTGGGCATTTCTCCAGTCTGTTACCAGGCTAAGCTAGAGAGGGTTGATGGGGAGAGGTGGTGCTCCCGTGGGGGACCTGGGTGTGTCCACAGGTACTGCCACCATCCGGCTGGGGCTGGTTCTGGGACCTTCTGGCAGGCCCAGCCCTGCCCTGCCCCAGAACACCTGGAGGTAGATAGAAATAACTTTCCAAGAGCTGGGCCTCTGCTGTGGCCCACTGGGCACCAGGGCTGCTTCAGTTCATCTCTCAGACAGAAGGATCTTCCTTCTCATGTCTTCAGAGCTGGACCACACTAGACCCCACCACCATGGCATACTTGGGGGCATCTGGCTAGCAGCTGAAGCCCTCGAGCTAGAGCAGCCCAGAGCACTCAGTCTCCTTCCCACAGGCTGATGAGTAACTTGCTTGGGTCAGAGAGTGTGGTGAGAGCCCTAAGGAGGGTTTGGCCTCAATCCCACACCAGACTCAAGCAGGGCCTGGGACCTTCCTGCTCTAGCATGGAGCAGCCTGTGGGCCTTGTGGGGGGGGACTTCCTGTGGAGGTGGCTAAAGACAGATGTCAAGGGTGGAGGACAAGTGAGGTCTTGGCAGCTAAAAATGGGTAAGAAGGCAATAGAGGAAAGGAGGAGGAGGAAGGAAGGGGACGGTTAATTAGTGATCCAGAGCTGGAAATCCCAGTGAACCAGCCAAGGAGCAGCCATGGCTAGGAGGGAAGTGAGAAGTACGTGGAGAAGGAAGGGGGAAGAGAGCCACGGGACCTGCAGGGTAGAGGAAAGGAAGACTGGTCTAGGGCAGGGCTGGGCCAGGCTGGCGTGCTCCCGGAGCCAGCTGGGGCAGAGGCTGTTTATTTGGTTTCTTATTAACCACAGGAAGTGCATGGATCAGATGGGGCCTCTGCTGCTTGACTGCCTGCCCAGAGTGGTGCCCACCCTTCCCCCGACCTGGGCCTGGGGTCTCTAACCAGGGCTGGTTCAGGCCAGACTGGGGTCTCTAACTGAGGTGGAGCCTGTCCTAGGTTGAGTGAGCCCTTACCACCCTTCTCTGAGTGTCCTTGGGAGGCCGCCCACTTAGCCCAGGATCCCAGCTGCCCTCATCCTGCCAGTGGAGAATTGAGCTCCTAGGGGTTCCATAAGAGTAGCTGTAGGAGCATTAAGTAAAATTTGAGGGAGAGAGAAGTATGGAAAGGAAAGTAGTAAAGAAAGTATGAGGACAGTCTCCCTGATAGCCCAGCAAACTTGTGACTAGCTGTTCCTACTTGCCCTGGCATGGGCATTGTGACTGGGGCTGGTTTGAGCTCACTGCTGACACTGTGCTGACCACACAGTAGTGCTTAGTATCTCCTTGTGACATAGTGTCCCTCACCTGGACAGTGCCTGCCAGTTTTTTCAAACATTTACACACATTCTTTCGTTGAGCCTCATAAACTGCCTTGTAAGGCTGGTAGATATGGAATTCTTTGCCTCATATTTGAGATGAGGAAATTGAGACCCTAAAGGGGGCAGTAACTTGCCCAAGAACACACATCAAATGAGTGGGAAAACTAGGGTTCAAGCCCAGGCCTTTTATTACACCATGCAAAAGTGAGAGAAGTTCCCTTGAGAGTGAGGAGGTGTGACTCCCATTCTCCCTCCTCCCCTACACCTTTCCTCTGTCTAGGTTGAGACTGAGCAAGCATGCTTCCTTGGAAATCTTGAAGCATAGGAGCCCCCCCCCCCTTCTCTTCTCCTCTCTGGGTTGAGGGTGGGGGAGGGGAAAGGGAGGAGGACCAAGCTTAGCTAGCCAGAAGCAGGAGGTGGGAGCCTTCAGCGGGTAGGGCCCCAGTCCTGCCCCACCCTTGACTCTCCTTCCTGTCCCGGCTGAGCCCAAGCTCCTGGTGAGTCAGGGATAGAGGATGCTTCCCAGGTGAGGGTGGGGCAGCCTGGCTTCCTCCACAGGCTGAGCCCAGTTCTTCAAAGAAGCCAAACTGAGCAGGTGCTAACCAGACCTTAGTTTCCGTGAAGAACAGCTTGTGGAGCTGCAAGGGCAGGGCTCTTGTGACCTTATTATACTGGTCATTTTGTCTCTGATGCACCAGGGACGTGGATGGCCTGACATGCTCTAGGCAAGGGCATGAGAGTGGGCCGCAAAACCCAAGGAGGGACCCAGGCCCAACCAGAGCCATCCTAGGTTGGGCCCTGCTGAGCACGTCTCTTTGGCCACCTGTTGTCAATAACTCTTGGAAATCCAGCCCGCCCACCTGCCTGCCCTCCTGCCCTTCCCGGCACATCACAGTCCCACTGACACCCCAGCTGAGTCAGCCCCAGCATGCCTGGGGACCCTCCTTGCCCATTTGCTGTTGGCCTCCTGCTCAGCTGGTTATCAGATCTGGGGAGTGGGGGCCCCAGCTGGTGTTTGTTAGGTTGGCTCCCTCTTTGGGAGGCTGCTGAGGGTGATCCCAGCCCCCACCCAGGACATGGGTCATGAAGCCCAAACTGAAAGCAATTTAAGGGCATGGGGGAGACAGTAATTGTAGGTTCTGTTTCCAATGGTTAATTATCCAGCTGGCAAAGAGAAAGGAACGCGGGAAAACTGGGAGTGGGGGGATTAAGTAATGTGTGAAGGGATATGGGAGGGTGGAAGGAGCTTGCCACAGGACTCTTTGTACAAGGGAGAGCCCCATGCTGAGAGGCTGGCAACCTGAGGGCCTGCCTCATCCATGCCACGACTCCCTTTTTGACCAGGGGCAGGCAGGTCCCTGGCTTTTTGGACCTCAGTTTTCCTGTATAGGGTAATGAAAGTGTGGGACTAGATTTATTTGTTTATTCAGAAACTATTTATTGAGAACCTACTATGTGCCGGTCAGTGGTCTGGGCACTGAAGTACAGTGATGAATAGGATAGATAAGGCCCCTGATCCCAGAGAGCTCACCTTCTAGAAGGGCACCTTCTAGAGGGGACTGTCTAGAAGGGTCTTTAAGCACCTGGTTAGATCTTGACTGTGCTTGTGTGTTGACTGAGTCATGGGGATGTGAGAGCCAGGATGGAAGATACCCAGATTAAAAAAAACTGGGTTCTGAAGTTAGTCTTTCAATCATTCATTCATCCATCTATCCATTCATTTTTTCTCAACAGAGATTGAATGCATGGCACATAGTAAGCACCAATAAATGATTGCTATTGCTTCTCCTGTGAGGTGTGGTGGGGATAGTTTGGCTCTGGGGCTGGACTTCCTGGGGCCTTTTCCTGCTTAGAAGTAGACCCCAAGCCCTGGCTGTTCCCACCATCACCAACCAAAGCTGGCCTTTTGCAAAGTTCCTAAATATCCTCATAAGAACTTGTCCTGGGGTTCTAATCCCAGCCTACTGCTTCTATCCCCCATCCCAGGTACTTGGGCCAGGGGCCAGGCAAAACGTACCCATGATAAACACTTCCCAAAGCCTGTAGGCAGAAGCTTCTCAGACTAAAAGAGGTGTCCTCAGCCCTTGCCTATCCCAGCAGCCCCATGGCCAGCCTCTCACAGCCTCTCTAGAGACAGAGGATGAGGAGCTAGCTTCTGGGAGAGGAGCTTCTCTCTTTCTCTGGGCTGGCCCCTATGGACAGGCTCCATGTGGATCCTTTGGTCCTATTACCAGGAGAAACTAGGTGAGATCCTGGAGTCCACCCCTGCCCAGGAGACTCCACACTGGATGGATTCTACTGGTCAGAACCCTATGCTGCCCATGCTCTCAAGGGGACTGGCTGTTCAGGTAGGATCTAAGAAGCTGGAGGCATGGGAATGGTAGATCTCGGACTTTCCTGAGAGCTCCTTTACAACTTTATGGAAAAACTGGGGCCCAGAGACTGGATAGGACTTACTAAGGGCACACAGGAAATGCTGGCAGGGCCAGACCTAGAACCCAGCTTTCTTGCCTCACAGATCAGAGCTGTTTGCCCTTCTGCACACTGCTGCATTGTTCTCCCAGAATCCCCTGGAGTGTGTGTGTGAGTGAACCAAACAAACCTGTGTATACACAGTATTTATATTGACAAACCGTGTAAGTACAAGGCAGTTACCAAAACGACACAGTACAACCCTGAGGAAAATGTGATCCTCTGAGGGTTAGGCCTGGTGGCAAGCAGCCCTTGAAAATGCACTAACAGTTTGTCCCCCTTCCTGGGACTCTTCTGTGGCACCTTACACAGCTCTGTAATCCCTCAGCGACACAACTGCTTGGAGGCATCTGTAGGGGCCAGACCTGCTAGTTCATGGCTCAGACCCAGACTCGGGCATCTCAAGGCTGAGTGGAGCCTTAAAGGTCATGCACTTTCCCCCTTCCTTCAGAGATGTGAGTGGCAGGCCAACCTCCCTGTGCACACCTCCAGGACTGTCCTCCTTCCCTCCCCCACCCAGGCAGCCTGGCCTGACAGTTAGCTATCCTTGCCCTGTCTTTAGCCCAGCTGCACACACTAATAGCCATGGCAGTAACATGCTTTCACATGCAAATTGCTATGGAATTCTCAGCC